TAGCTACATCATGTTTTAGTATTATCATCCGGATTTCCATTCATTTGCTTCCTTCCTTTCTTTATATATTTTCTCTGTAAAGAAGAAGAAAAAAAAACAGCTACAAGAGTAAACACTGGATTGAGTAAGCACTGCATGGAACACTGTTCTGACTCGCATGAGAAAATTCACTATGCTTTGGTGAAAAGATAACTGCCTTGGTGAAGAGAATTTCATTGCGAGCCATAACATGCAACATGCTTATTCTAGTGCTTTTCCTTTGGTTAAATCTATCATTCACTTATCTTGCTTTACAGTGTATGTACCCTTTTTTTTTAATATATTTTCTTCTTTGCTCTGTGTCTGCATTAACACCAAGACAAAAACAAAAAAATGAATGAAATATCAGATTAATTATTGAGACTACAAAATCACAATCCTAAATATCACCTAATCTTTTTATAAGAACATTTAGACATGAAGAAAAGAAACAAAACATATATCCTGACGACTCCAGTCATAATTACATAACCACATACACCACACACTTTCTTTGGTCAGTTATCTTTAAGGCATGTGCTTGGTAGCTTACCCTTCTCATGTCTGCTTTCATTCTCTTATTCACAGTAACTACATGAAAAGTAACATCTAAAAAAAACAGCAAAGTAGAAAAGACATTACGTGCAACTTGAAATATACTTCTCTACAAATACATGTTTAACTGCCGTAATTTATCACTACATAGTGGTGATCCATGGTAAGTTGACACCATTGTGAAATATTTAAGAGTGTTTATGCTTTATCTTCAAATGGTCCACTCTAAGAGAATATATCAAGAATTCTACAATCAAGGAAATGGAAATTGATAGAGAATGCTATAGTCGTTAGTCTGACTAAAATGCAAGATGAACCAACTCACAGCTGGGACTTGCTATACAGTTAATGGACAGTATATAGATCTTATCTATCACAGTGAGATCTAGAATGAGCAAAAACGCTAATCTGTCATATTAATAGTAGGTGCAAAATGGTTATCAACCATTATCTGTTATCAACCACTGCAAAAATTTGTATTGAATGAAAATATATTATTTCACATTACAATCAACAATTTGAATACAAATGAAAATGTGTCAAGTAAAATTTCAAGGAATCAAATTACATTCATTTGCTACACCATAAGTCTCTTTGGTTCTGATAAAAAGGGGAAAAAAAAATACTTTTCAATATACAATGAAGGAAGACTAGAAGCCTTATTCTGTTATACATTTTTTTTTTACTCTGTGTGTGTGTGTGTGTGTGTGTGTGTGTGTGTGTGTGTGTGTGTGTGTGTGTGTGTGTGTGTGTGTGTGTGTGTGTGTGTGTGTGTGCACTCCCATAGGCATGTGTTTACAAATATTAAACACAAAATGTTTTCCTACATGTCATACATAACATGTAAATTAAATGTTGCAAAGATTATGCTTGAAACTATTCATACTTCCATCTGTTATTTTACTTGTAACTTATCCAGTGAGAATTCTTAAATGATATATCAATAAATTCCACATAATATACACTTAATAAACACATGAAAATATTAATTTAAATGATTTTTTCTTATTTTTTTTCATAGAATATAAATCCTAATTTTCGAGTACCATACATGAAAATATAGCTAATAGCATCTGTACCAATAGAATCACAGTACTTTTTATATACTTCCCAAGATCTTACTAACAAGTAAAACACTTAGCACAGTTCCAAATGAAGCTGCCGTCGGATGTGGTGATTTATTGCAATAATCCTGTAAGATCAAAATATATAATTAGTAGTAGGTTTTTATAGATAAATTGTTATATAAGGCTTAAATATAAAATAGAATCAAAGCTTGTTCAATTCTAAGTGCATTGAGTTATTTTGCACTGAAAACTTGCATGTTCTTATTAGTCATGTTGATGTACCTTTAATAAATCCCTTAACCCATTGCCGCTGGGGAAAATTAATAAAAAATGGGGAAAAGACTGTGTCCATTTTTCATATATTTCGTGAAATGTCTCTATACATAGGTGGCTCTGCTAGTGCTTAGCCTTACCTGATTTCACCTTTCCTTGAATTGGTGGGAAAATGTACTTCTTGCTAGAGCTATGAATATTGATAGTGTTATTTTTATTATAAACATTATAATTACTATAATGTCATAAACATTAGTAATAGCAAAATAAGATAACGTAAAATTTTTTCGCAAAATAAAGAAAAGGGTAATCGGGCAAGACATGCAGTACTCGTAATTGGTTCATTGGTGAGTTAATACAAGTGTAGCCATCTATGTGTAAAAATAATTAAACAAGTAAACTCACAGAAGGCATGGCATTCCCTTGGAATAAGTCAAGGAATTATTGAAGATAATGGTATCAGAAAAAGAAACTATCATTGTAAAAAAGTTCTGCATGAAAAGGTTTCAGAATCTGAGGGACACAGCTTTTATGAAACTAATAATCTTATCACATTACTTACTGTTGAGTTATCCATGAGGCAGCTCGATGGCCGTCTTCTAAACCTTGCTTGGTATGCACAAGGTTTCACTGTAGTAACTCTTTCTGGAGTGATATTTGGAAGACTGGAGTATACGCCACACTCCTCTGGTTTTGTTTCAATGGCAACCAGAATTGCATTTGCCTTCACTAGACGTCGTACCCAAAACTGTAAATATATTTTGTAGATATAATATAACATCCTCTTTAGATATCCTAAAATGTAGATTGTTTAAATTTCCCTATGTTACTTGGTCCATCTTCAACACATGTTTCTCTTATAAAGATTGCGGTCGTTTTACAAAAATAAACATATGAACACTGTAATACAAAAACAAACATCATATGAAAAGACAACAATTCTAATATCTCCTTTACCCCAGAAACTTATTTTGCCAGTACGCTTTACTAAAAGTTTTCTATTTTTTATATCTAACACGGTCATTTGCATTCTATATTACTAATTCACCTTTTTCCTTGATGCAAAGTTGATGTGCTTTCAGTAAACTAAAGAGAGCTGCATTAGTAACATCCTGCTGCCATCAATAGGCTAAATGAAATGCACCATTATTGCAATCATCTCATGATTCATCCAGATAGCATCCTACTGTAGGTGTCTGTACTGTAAGTATCAGTATGCTATTCTCATATCAATGATTCCTGCATAATTTTATGAACACTCACAAGGACAGTGATAGATAAAAGTCTCTAATACCTGCCTGCTGTTCAACAAACATGCCTGACAAGGGAAACTCACCTTTGCAGTGTGGTTGCTGCAGTGCATGACAGCAGAATGACGTGTGTTTTCACCAAAATAATAGATGGCTTGGGACATAACACATGATTCCTGTCCCCCAATTTGCGTCATGCCCCACTCGGACCATGCCTCAACGCTCGGAGACATGAATGCCACAACACAGCTTGAGGAATGAAAATACAGCAGACAGAATGAGTCTCTTTCAGCAAGATTTAATTAGCAGGAAAAGGTAGATATAGTGAGGTTTAGATGAATAACTTCACAGTATAATATATGTAACTGATATACTTTGATCAAATTTCATCAAATTCATATGAAATTTTGGTGATATAATTAAAACACTTAAGTTTCATCCCTTATGCTATCAACCTTTTCATATTCATTCATATCTTATTCTACTTAATCACAGTGAACTCTGTTCACAGGTTTGATATTAGATAAAAGCTCTTTTGCCTTTGCAGACCTATTTCTAATCTTACCTATCTGAAGTTATGTTTTCAAAATCATGATACCCAAGATTGGCTACACAAAGTTTTCATGTGTGAATGATGGTTAAATGATGTGTTAAGCCTATTAATCTGATCCTGTTCAGTGGCTTGTATCCTTGCCATGTATGGGTTTGAGCATGCTCTATGTTGTATGTGTCATTTGTCCCTACAAAGTAAGTTTGAAGTCTCTTTATAACTTCTTTAATTGAAAAATCATAGACAGCAGAGAAAACATGTTTACTGTCTTTCTAATCCTTCACTGTAGTGACTTGTACATTACACCTTACACAAAGTCATGATATAGGAAAAAGCTGTTGCCATTGGATTAAGAGTTGTAGTAAACATTTTTCATCATCTTTTCTCAATTTAACAATAACAATGAAAGTGTCTAAAAAAAAGGCCAAAGAAACAAGAAGGTAAGAAACATTTAATCAGTTCCGATTAAGATTTAAAGAAAAAAGAATCATTATCAAACTTACCTAAATATCATATATCTCAGATAATCAGCCCAAGAAAGTATCTCAATCAGGAAACCGGCGAGAAGTTTCAGAGGGTTTGGAATGAGGAAACTCCTTGGACCTGCACTTGTTCCCTTGGTCTTCGACTCTTTGCAGATAGCCTGTGTATTTACTCGTTTCTCCATGTTATAAATGCTGGCATTGTGCAGATGCTCCATTAATGGCATGTTCAGATCTCCAAGGAACATCCCTTGAAGGGTTACTCCATGTAGCTGTTGGTATGAAGACAAAATCAGTGGGTAGTTCTTGTGATAAATGTCAGTTAAGAGCACAAATTATCATACTGTTAAGCTCATAAAACAGTAAGTCTCTATATAAAGTACAAAGAATATACATCATAGGGACATCATATACAAAACAAAAAATAATGGCAACTTCTGTCACCCAACCTCCTCTTCATTGGAAGTAACAATGAGCCCTCCATCATCCACCAACAGAAGGAGGTAGTCCTTGTTCCATTCAGTCCTTATCAACATAGTCTTAAATTCACTATGCAGGTAACTGGCTGTCAGGTTTACACCCACAACTGTAAATCAGAACAAAAGTATTGCTACTTATTTGAAAACTAGTAAACAGAAAAAAATAAATAAAAAAGTTAAAATACTAACAAGATTTAAGAAAAAGAACTCATTAATCCTGTACAACATAGAACTACACACGAACCTCCGGCCATTACTTCATAATTCTTAGCAACTTTGACTGGGACTGATAAAAAGGCACCAAGGGCATGGGGAATAATGGCAAT